AAGCCTCCCCAGCGACAGAAGCTCCCAGCCTCTCCTTTTTTTCTTTTTTTTTTTCTGGGATTTATTTACCTTCTATAATTGAAACTTTGTAGCCTGGAGTGGAGCTCAGAGCCGGCCAGGGTTTGGCTTCCTCCATCGCCAGGGGCAACCCAAGGCTCCAGCTCAGTGGCCACCGCCGGCTGAAAGCAGGTGTCTGGGGTTTATTTACCTTCTATAATTGAAACTTTGTTGCTTTGAGTGTAGCTTAGAGCCCGCCGCGGCAGGCGGGGAACCTTGGCTTCCTCCATCACTGGAGCAAGCAAGCCTCCTGCTCGTTCCAGCTCCGTGGCTGCCGGCCGCCATCTTTGTTGGCAGTTAATTTGCATATCTTGCTGATTAGCCAATGGGAGGCGTAGTGAAGGTATGGTCAATTACCATGTTTGTCTATTATTAGGTAAGATTATATATATATGGTTAAGTGTCCATCCAACTGGTAGCTATGATGTGCACTGACCACCAGAGGGCAGACGCTCAACACAGGAGCTGCCATGACGCGCACTGACCATTTAAAAATAAATGGCACCACGTCCCTGGCGCCGACAAACCAACACTTGGCTTCTCCCAAGTGGGACACAGGCTCCGCCACCACCCCGCAGCAACACCCCACCAAATCACAGCCAAAGCTGCCAAGACCCCATGGTGCAAAATGCAGCCCACAGCCCAGGCCAGCCCAGAAACAGTGGCTGTAGGCACCGGGTAATGACGTCACATAGCAACACCAGCTTCCTCTCCCTAGCAACTAGCCTCCTTGCAGTTTCTTCAGCCCAGGAACCCAACTTGCCAGGTGGAAACATTTTACAGTTTAACCAAATGTTTGTGAAGTGTTTTCCTGTGCCTCATCTCGTTTGATCCTCACAGAAGTCCTGGAGTAGGTAGATAGGAGACTCAGTAGAATCCTATTTTCTTCTCATTAGCAAGATGTGAATAGTGATATTAAAATATTTTTTATAATTAATTACCTTTCAGTGTGCACGAAATCCGTGCACCAGGCCACTAGTAAATAAATATATATATATATATATGTATGTATATGTGTATATATTTATATCTACACTAATAAAAGACAAAGATGCTAATTGACCGTAACTTTGCTACGCCCACCAGCCAATCAGAAGAATATGCAAATTAACCCAACAAAGATGGCTGTTAAATTATTTGCATACTGCAGGCGGGGCGGGACAGCGCGAGCCGCCATCCGGGCCTCCCGTGTGTGACCCAGGGCGGCGGGGTGGGACAGTGTGAGCTGCCACCCACCCCGCCGCCATCGGGCCTCCCGTGGATAAGCCAGCAGGTGGTTATCCCCTGAGGGGTCCCAGACTTTGAGAGGGCACAGGCTGGGCTGAGGGACCCCCCTCCCCCAGTGCACAAATTTTTGTGCACCGGGCCTCTAGTTTATATATAATTATATATAAAAGCACCTACTATAGCTGGGCAGTGGCTGAAATGTTGAATAACAAATCAGTTATGTTGAATAACGGAGTTCCTCTTCTGTCTGGTCTTGTTCTCTGGCTGAAGGAACATCGATATCAGGTGGAGTTCCTTCAGCTTTTAGTGCCCAATGATTTGTGTTCTATTTCTCTCTTCAGGCAGGCCAAGTGTTGCTTTTCTGGCCACTTTTGAGGTCTAGCTGTCAAGTTTTAGTATACTTTTGGTTCACTGAATTTGTCTTCCTGAGCCTTTCAGCTCCTTTCTTCCATTTCCAGTTTTCCACCCAAGTACACGTCTCTTTGATTTCTTGTTCTCTCACTGCCTCCATTTTATTAATTCATTCAGTTCCTCATTCAACAAGTATCTATTGTGCCAGGCTGTGGGCAGGCTACAGAGACGAACAAGACACATCCCTGCCCTCGAGTGCACAGTCTGGTAGGGACACAGATGTGTAAATAAATGATTAAAATACCAGTGCTAGGAGGAGATTAAAAATGGCGGCAGAGTAAGTGGATGCCGCATGGACATTCTCCCAGGAACAAGCTGGAATTACAAGTAAAATACATAAAATACCAGTGCTGTGCTAAGTGTATATTAAAAGTGTGCAGAGTTGTGGGGTCACCAGGAAGAAGTGACTATCACGAGGTGGCAGGCATCACTGAGGAGGTGACTTTTGAGCAGGGCCTTGTGGTCAAAGAAAAGGGGGAGGGCATTTTTAAGTTAGTATATTGCTCATCATCATAGTCCTCACGTTCTCATTGCAGTTTATCTTCTTCCAGGTCTCCTTAATGTCTTTGCTCGTTTATGGATTTAATGGCGCTAATTAGTAGGGCTAAATTAGACTCTTGATTCACTTTTTCAAAACCTGAGATGGTTGATTAATGTCCAACCGTTTGTCCCACATCATTTATTGACAGTGAATGATTGAGACTCTAGAGAAGCACTGAAGAAAGCCTTTAAAAGCATTTCACTTTATCAGATGTGTTCTGAGCCAGCAGAAGAGGTCTTTGTTTCCTCCAAGGAGGGAGGGAGTGAGAGGGAGGGAAATTGTGAGAGAGGGAGGGAGGGAGGGAGGAGGGGGTGGAGGGAGGGAAGCTTATGAGTGGGGAATGGGACAAAAGAATGCTTCTTTGTTTCTTTTGCAATAAATGACATGATTTCCTGTTTTTAAGAATGTTTCTTTGGTATGCTCCCACACCTCTTGTTAGTTGTGTATATTGTTGGAGGATTTTATCCATTGTGGTTCTAATATCAAGCCTTGGACAAGGTATATAGTCTGTAAATATTTGTTGGATGACTAATGGAATAAATAAATGAATAATGGTGCTGTACCAACATATTTCAGTGAGGTGCTTGTTTTATTTCCTGCATTATTCTTGGAAATTCCTCCCTACAAAACTAGTAGGTCAAAGCAGTAACAGCCAATTTAAAATATCTTAATGAACACGTGGATGTAGTTTGCTAATTTGACAGGGTTTGGTGTTTTTCCTTTTTGTTTTGTTTTGTTTCTAAATGCATTGTGGTCCTGACCAATGTGGCTCAGGAAATATTCTTAGATTGATTTTTGTGTACCTGTGGGAATGTTATCGTTGTGTAAATTCCTAAAAGGGTAGTTGCTGAGTCAAAATTTTGATAGAAATTGCCAAATTGCACCTAAGAGATTTTATCAGTTTATTTTTCAATTATATTCTGATGATCCCAAGGCTATATCTCTTTCCTGAGTTCTAGATCCATCTATCCAACTGTTAATTGGACATCTCCTCTTGTGTGTCTCATAGGCTTTTTCTAACCTCAGCTCTCATTTACTTTGATCCAGCAAACGTGGCACTTCTTGCTGTTATTTCTCTATCAAAGAATATCACCATCTGCCTGGTTGCTCAAGCCAGAAATTATCTTCTCCACCTATATCCAACCAGTCATCAAATCCTATTCAGTCTTTCTCCCTGATGTCTCTTGTAATCCATTCACTTTTCATCCCTCTACCACTGTGTTTAATTTAAACTATTACCAAGTTGTCCAGATCACTGTAGTAGCTTTGGGGCAACTACTCTCTCTGGCTTCTACTCATGGTCCCATTCTCTTCAGAAAGTGTGAGCTTGCCGCACTTGGAATCTTTGAGTGTTACTCCCCTGAGTAGCCCATCAGTGAGTCCTGCCACCTGTCCACCATCTACTCCACCATTCAGAGACTGAGGCCAACAGCAGCTAACATTCATCACTCTTGATTTCAAATCTGTGTCCATCAAAATATGCACACACATACACCCCACACACAGAAACTGACTAATGGGCCAATGCTGCCCTGGACAGGTAGCTCAGTTGGTTAGAGTGTCATCCTCGCATGCCAAAGTTGTGGGTTTGTCCCCGCATCAGAGCACAATCAAGAGTCAACCAATGAATGCATAAATAAGTGGAACAACAACTTGATGTTTCTCTCTCCCCCATCTCTTTAAAATCAATTAAAAAATGGGTACATGTTGTAAATTTGAATATATAAATTACTTTTTATACTAAATTTTGAATTTTGCCCTAGCCAGTTTGGCTCAGTGGCTAGAGTGTTGGCCTGTGGACTGAAGGGTCCTGGGTTCAATTCTGGTCAAGGGCATATGCTTGGGTCACAGGCTCGATCCCTGGTAGTGGGGGTGTGCAGGAGGCAGACAATCAATGATTCTCTCTCATCATTGATGTTTCTATCACTCTCTCCTTCTCCCTTCCTCTCTAAAATCAATAAAAATATATTAAAAACATTTTTTTCTTTCAGGTAGGGTTTTCTCTGACTAAAAAAAAAATTATTTTCTTTTGGAAAACAATGCAGCATT